TAAATGCATGACCATGACAGAGGGATTTAATAATACGTTAAATTAATATTAACACTGAATAATCACCAAAGGAATAAACACTTCCTTGAGAATATTCCAGTCATATGGTGGTAGTTTCTTGCATGAAACACATACATTTTAATGATTATCTTGTCTCAGCAAATCTTACAGAATTTATGCAATCCAAATGGATTTGATTATCACTTTCAGGAGATGCATCTTAGCTGGGTAACAGTAACCTAGTATAAGAGACAGCAACGGGAACATTATCAGGTGAAGCAGACATACAGGAACCTACCCAGAAGCTGGTTAACACTCTGGCTCCATCGCTCTGAATGTTTGCCATTCTCTTTCTAAAGTGGTTGCTTTGTGGTGGTTCCTCAAGAAAGAAGAGCCAGCAGCCTGGCTTGCACAATGCCAGCAATTACAATTCTTTCCCTGTTGCTTTGATGTACATGATATAATTAATTTAATGATTTTAGGTCCAAAAATAATAAGCACCACATATAACTGAGTGGGGGATTTGTTTCTCAGGAATATGTTTATTTGTGCTCACCAGCAGAACCAAAACTATTACCCTTAACTACTCCATTCAGACACCGGTTCATTCCTGAAGGTGTTTGTGTCTTTGCAATGGAGGCTGGGATGAATTAGAATATATAGCGGATTCTGAGATGGTGCCTGCGTTTTCTCAGTTCTGCCCTGCTTTGGTAAGTCATTGTCTTTTGTTGTCTAAATGGGCTCAGATATGTCATTCTTATTACCAAGGCTTATTTAATTCATTTACTAGGTCATTGCTTGGGATAATATATGCAAATTGTACATATTAAGAGTGATATGAATTACATCAAGCATTGCCGTTTATGTGGAAAATTCATCAAATGTTAATATAAAATCTATAAATAGAAAGAATAAAATAATAATAAAACATGAATGTGCAGCAAGCATAAAAAATGAAGATCCTTAACTGCCCATTTATTAAGCAAATAAGGACAGCATATCCTTAACCAGAAAGCGAAAAAAGCAACAGAAAATGACTCTGTGTTACAGCGATGCTGATAACCATTTAAATCAGGTCGCCAGTATTCTGACAGGGTTTGTGCTTGTGAATGGGGAAAATGAAAATGAATGCCATGAAGGAATTCTGACAACTGTGTTGGTTAGAAAGCGGTAGGAGATTTAAAAAATAAGCCCACTGATTTAGTCTGTATGACAAAACTTATCACAGATTGCTTGGGCACTACACCAAACAGTTGGAAAAAATGATAAACCCAAGAATAATGTTTTCTATCATTTTGAGTCTGTATTTTATAATTCTGTGATTCAAATGCTCTTGCTTGCAGGTACAACCTGGGATGTTACTGGCTAGTCGTAAAGTGTCCTATATCAACACCAATTCACTTTTCTCATATTGTAAGAACAAATATTCACTTATCATTCTAGCAACTGGCATAAAAACACCCATAGAATTTCATATATCCCTACATAATTTGGCATAACTGGCAGGCTTTTCTAAAACTGAATAACTGAATAATAATGAAGGCCATTAATGAAGATTAGAAACATTACAAAGAGTGAAAAAATTAGTAATATAGTTTCTTATATGCATAGACTGACTATGAGAAGAGCATTTCTGTAGAAATCATGCATAATTATTACTCAAGGAAGAGGATATCAAAAGTAAGTTATTTGAATTTTCACTCTTAAAAAAAAGTTCTCATTATTGCAGCCTGAATTGCTCACTTCAGGAAACCAGTTAGCTTCATCCTTTCTTCCTAATGATTATATAATGCTTCGCGGCTTGATTGTTTTAATTCATGTTCTCCTTTCCCCATACATTGATAGCCATTTTCAACACCACATGTACATCCTTCCAGGAGTCCATGCTCTGCATGTTAAGTTTGTCCTTATGACAGCTGATTTAAATGAAGCAATTCTTACTTTTCTTTAAAATTCCACATGTCATTAATATATTTTTTTATCAGTCTCTAACAGAAAACATACCTCACCACTTTTCAATACATATTGCTAGCCTTTATAAAGCTCAGTCATAAAATAGCATAGTGTTGCTTAACATCTGCTCATCCTTGTAACATAAAGGGAAAAAAGGCCCCACTCTTTCAACGGCAGTTGTTCAGCTTTCGCAAACAGGCTTGTGTATTGCTGCGCTATATGTTGCACAAGCTGAATAATAAATCACTGGAGTGAATTCCCCCAATAAACAAGTTTATATAAGCACGATCCTCTCAAATATGATCTGCTTTTCCTGCTTTGCATTTGCCCATTTTGAAATCCAGCATTTGTGTCACCACAAAGGGGCAAACCCTGGTTTCTTCCTAATAAATAGCTCTTAAAAGCTATTAATAATTCTTAAAAGGTCTAACCTAAGATCCATATTTGTGAATTAGCAGCTTTTCATTGAATCTGGTATCTGGGTAAGGTAAGGAAACACAAAATGGGCAGTCTGATTCCTTCCCAGTCAAAGGCATAAGATCTTTGCCCAAGTCATGATTACAGAGTGTTATACAAATATATGTAGTATATTTATTAGTGGAGAAAAACTGCATTCTTTTGGTTAGGTTGATTACATTTGGCAGATACAATAGGAAAGAAGACCTACTTTACCGATGCTTGGACAAACCCAAGAACACATAGAGCACAGAACAAAAATCCACCTCCAGCACTCAAGTGGGATATGTTATCACTCTTTATATTTAGAGTCCATTTTTAAGTAAATTATAAAAGGAATAATTATTAAGACGTCCCTTAAAATATTAATAAAGTGTTACAAAGTGTTTGAGAGCAACTACTAACAGACTGCTAATAAGGGTGATTTTTGCTGCCTCTTCCCCTATTTTTGTGGCCATCGGCAATCCGTTGCTCACTGCCCTGCAATTCATATTACTGCTACTCAGTATATTAACCCCATGTAAACATAACAGCAATGCAAAACGTTACCAGATGTTTAAAAGAAACTATGAAAAACATCCCTTAGGTTCTGTAGGCTTGAATCATTAATCTATAAATTCTTTGGTTTCATTTCTACTTAAACATTATAGGATTTTTCCAAAAGGATTTGGTGCTCTCAAAGGTAAAATCTTGCTTGCCTATTAATGCATGAAATCTCACTAAAGTCAGTGAAACTACTCGTGTGAAAAGACATACTCCAGTTCATTACAGAAAGATTAGCCATTTGGGCTTAAGAAGACGGTACGCGAAGTGCCACAGTGAAGAGAAGTAGTTTCAGCCTTCCTCATTTACATGCAAAGCAAATTCTTCCACCATTTGCTTCCAATTTGATAACTGAGCAAAAGCATAATAATAAATAACTCACAGAAAAAAAAATGTAATTTACTTTAATAAACCACAGCTTCAGACTATGGGGACCTGAGGATCTATTTCTCCTGTCACCAGGAAGGGAGCAGAGGAGCTGCCGTGGAGCCTCCATCTCACCCCCATTACACACGACCACTTGCTCCATCTGTGGGTGCCTGAGCAGCTGTCCCATGTGCAGGCCCACTGAAGAATTCAGACATAAATTTAACCAAGGGCAAAAGAAGGGGCAAAAATAAAATAGAAGCCTACACAGCCAAATACAAGTGTTATATTTGGGGGCCCAGTTCCCAGCTGTCTTTCCCAGGGAGGAAAATCATGCTCTGGGAAAAGATGGTGGCAGTGTTGTTCCCATCCCATCCCATCCCATCCCATCCCATCCCATCCCATCCCATCCCATCCCATCCCATCCCATCCCCGCAGGCTCAGGAGGCAGCAAGGCTCCAGACAGCATCAACAGCCTCACCAGTCACCGAGCCCAAGGTCAGCAGCAGCAATTTTGGTGTGGCTGCTTCTTCACACAATATCTGCCACTTACACTTTGTAGTCCCAGCACCGCAGGTAACACTTCCTAAAACTCCCCAGGTGTGTGAAGCAATGCCCCACATACCGTTTCACCCTCTCTGCTTTACCACCCCAGGGTGAGCCTTCAGCCCTTGAACAACCCTGTCCGACACCCTGCCGCTGCTTCCAGGGGAGCAGACAAACCTGTGGAGCCCAGCTGTGGCTCTATCGGTGCTCTCCTGCTCAGCACGCCTGCTGCGGTGTGGAAACTTTGCTAATTTAGGGCTAGAAAGCTGCCATGAGCAGTGAGCATGAGGGCTTGCTGTAGGAAAGGCTTGCAGTGTGACACAGCTACCCAAGAAACATGCACGGCAAAGGGCAGGTGAACAGCAGAAAAAAAGCAAATTGCTTAGATAAAAGAGCCAGCTCCCACATGGAAGAAGTCTCTTAGAAATTAATGGGCAGGACACCAAGAGCATACTAGAGGCAGCTCTACAGAAAACACTCTAAAAAGCTGACAGAGTTATAGGGGAATTGTCTCCTTTTTATGGATTGGTTGGGTTTTTAACAACTTGTAGCAAATGTGACTGGGAGAGATGTTTGGTAACGTTCTGGAAGAAGGTTAAATAAATTCTAAAGAAGATAATCTTTTTTTTTTTCTTTTAAATTCAGTAATTGTTTTCCTTAATTTATCTGTAATACAAAACATTCATGTATCTGCTGAACCCAAAACACATACTGTTCTTACTAGCATTTACTGTAGTCTCCTCCAGTTTCTAGTATTTGGGTATAACTTCGGTCTCTCCAAAACTGATGAAATTATGCCAGGCTTTGCCCTCATTGATGCAAAGACTCTCATTGACTTTTCATCTCAGTTTTAAGAAACTCGTGCCCTTTCTAAGAAACCTCCAAATGCCCATGTTTAAATACCTATGATTTACCTAAGTATGGTGTTTTTTTAAATTTGATGTACATGACAAGTACAACAAAAACACTTGAAAAAGAAACAGCACACGCTTGTCTAAGTAACAGTAGAGTGCAGCTCAGCAATACTACAGTATCTATACTGCCTATTAAATAAATTCATTAATAATTATTATTGGTCTCACACTAACAAACAAGTAAAGGAAATTCATGGTAAGGTTAAGAAATCAGTAACTCACTCCGTCCAACTGAACAGAGGTTGGCCTTCTCAAGTGTCTCTGGTCCTGTGGCAGAATTTCAGCCTGTACATAGGGAAGAAAAAAAAATAGAATTGGTCACAGCAGCACTATTATCCATTACAAGTAAAAAGCAATGAAACGACATGAATTTTGGCATAAGGCCCAGACCTGACTAAGGCTATTGCAGACTAGCCTGACACTGATATATTCTCTGGTTTCCACAGAAGTATTGTAAGTTTTCATGGCTGCAGCAAAACCCCACAATTTTGTGCTCCCTGCCAGATTCTCTATGCTGAAAAAGGCTGATTCACAGCAACCTGAGGCACTGCATCCAAGAGCTGGGCATGACCTAGAAGTGGCAGAAAGGACTCAGGCTCACGTTACTACTGATACGCAGATTACTGGGCAAGTGTTTGACTGTGCAGACCAAGAGGAGCCTCAAGACAATCTCTGGAGATAAACCAGTTCTCTGTGCAACGACAAGAACATAGTTCAGAGGATGGACATCAATGCGTATTTAGAATATGAAAAAGTAGGGTTGCATAATGCATCATCATGCTTTTTCTGATATTTTCTCTTTGGGGAAAAAAAAAAAAAAAAAAAAAAAGAATCACAGAAAAGCAATTACAAGCTCATTTTGATGGGCTCAGATTCATCATTTTCCATAGAAACTTCAGAGACTGTCAATGAAATATACAGAAATATCTGAAATGCTAATTGTCACTACATAATTGCTACAAGGCTGAAACATGTTAACTCAGATCTGGGCACTCAAACAACTAAATCTTTGAAAATAATGCAAAGAAGGCACTTCAATCCCCTTCTGTAAACCTAAGTGAAGTACTATCTGAAGAAAAACGTGAAAGGGAAGTCAGATGAACAGCAACTCTGTAGATATACAGTATGGAGCAGCCTTTATCTAAACAACAGTACAATTCCATTATCTGTTTTAAAGGAAAAAAAAAAAATGGGTATAAAGGAAAACTGCTCAGAAGTCCAGGAGGTCAAATGATCTGCTTTACAAATTTTTATAAGTATTTTTAATGAGTTTAATTTCTTTGGCCAAGCAAAACCAAGGTTGAGAAGATAAAGTTTATGTATATCCAGTTCCAGATATACACATGAGAAATAGGAAAAACTGCTTAAGGAAAAAGACAATGCTAGCATTAAACAAATATGTTGTGGAAACCTGGAGGATGTTTCTAAAAACCAGTTAAGTTCTGAAACAAATGTCCAGTAGAAGCAATGGAAAGGGGAAATCTAGCTAGCTTTTCAGTAGAGCTTTAGCAATTTTGAGGTGCAACTTAGGCTGATGAACAAATAAGAAGGTAATTTATTAAAATGAACATTAACATATTGTTCATTTGAACACGGGGAAAAAGTAAAATAAATAAATAAGTAGGAGCAATTTGAAAAGGTAAAAAAGAAAGCTACCAAAACTTCCACCTCACTTGAGCTTCATATTCATTTTTTTAAAATGGGGAAAAGATACACCTCCAGTGAATGTGTTTCCAGTTCCATTTCTTTCAAATATATACTTCTCAGCTTGAAGTATCAGTGTATGCATTCGAACTGAAATGCTACTAACAAATAACATCCTTTCTTTTTTCAAACATCTAATTGTAGAAGTGTCTACTGGAAGGAACAATCTGCTGGCTAAGCAGAGCTGGTGGGATCTTTTCAACCGATCACATCATTCCTTAGCAGCACACTATAGGGCTTACAAATATTATAGGAAATGTATTACCGTGTAAAGTATAATCCTTGACATATGACCTTCTACATGTTGGTTTAAAGTGAACATCTTAAGGAAAATCAAATGTTGTCAAGATATCAACCTAACAACAGGAAACTGTAAAAGTCTTTTAACAATAAATAGTCAAATTCCTGTAACGTTTAAGAGCCTGTCTTTTCTATATTGCTATTAAAAATCTTTGCTATTGTGCTTACTAATTGTAGTAGTCCTTCAGGTCTCTGTAATATACTCTGGAGGATCTAAATGTCACTGTATTCTGTCTGGAATTTCTCTTCTGGGGTTAGATTTCCTTGGCTGCATTGCTCTTCTCTGGACACGGCAGCTGGCAGATAGGCTGAGTGAATTCGGGGATTCCATGAGCGTGGCAGCAAAATATAACAAAGAGTGGTCCAGCCATTGATTTCATGTTACGTTTCCATCTGATAGAAAGATTACAATCAGCTGTTACCACCAAAAAGGACTGCTTTTATTCTGGGTAACTCATATTTAGATTGATTTTCCCTAAAATAGAATGTTTATAATTGTTCTTTCCTGTTCTGACCCTGCCTTTAAGGAGCAGTCCCCAACAAGGGAGGAACACCCACCACACCTCTTATGAGAAACCAGGGCTGAAGAGTTCAAAACTCCTACCAGAAAGGGACATGGGCAGCATACTCCTCTGAAGGTGCTGAATTCCTGAGGAATTGGGTTAAAATACTAACAATGAACCAAAATTAGCTACTGACATTTCAAATACAGCTATCAGTAGAAGACCAATTCAGAACACAGTGTGAACAGAAATACTCTTGTTATTTCGTTTTGTTCCCTATCTTTTTGACAGTTTCTTTTCTCTTATTTGGAAACACACTATCCAGGAGCACCAGACATCCCTGCTTGGTGTAATGTTGGTAGCGCTGCAGAACCAGACAGCGAGCACGCTGCAACTGGAAATGAATCCAGCGGTCCAGTTTCATCACCAAAACCAAATGAAATGAATGAAATGGACAAACTGCAGGAGCGAAGAAAATTAAATTCAGTTCTTCCTTCACTTTTAATATCCTAAGATAGGGGTTCCAAAACACAGTACGTCAACAGCTGCACGCAACAGCCAGAGCACGAACTAACCCCTACTCGCTCCCTGTGGGCAGCAACCAGGAGCAGATGCGAGCAGAAAGACGCCCTGAGCAGTCCCCCCGTAACTTCCACCACTCCTGGCAACCTGCAGCCTGGGGACTTCCTGAACTGCAGCTTACATCAGCATCTTCCTGTTTAGTAGCCCTCAATGGACCTTTCTTTCATGACTTGTCTAATCATTTTCAAACCTATATATACTTTTGGCATACGAAACATCCTGTAGCATGGATCCCATGACTTAATTGTGTGCTGTGCAAAACGAATACTTCCTTTTGTTTGCTTTAAAGCTGCAGCTCAGAGGCGCTACCTCATGCCTCGTAGGTGCTGTGTGCAGACAAATTGAAACCACCATTTCCACCTTCAACTTGCCATTCAAAACCTCTCTCCCATGACTGCTGGGCCCCCTCTTTCCCCGCTGAGCAGTCTCAGGCTGTTGGTCTCTCTTCTGTGGCCATCCGTGCTTGACCGTGCCTGGTATCCTCTCTGCCTTTCCTAATTCCATGTTATTTTAGGGGTAAATGGTTAGAACTACACATCATATTCAAAACGTATCTGCACCACTGAGTACACCATCTTGCAGCAGCTTTTTATTATATATTCCATTTTCATCCTAATAGTTCGCAACACTGGATCGACGTGTTGAGGGGACATTTTTAGAGAACCATTCATAAATGATTCTAGAATCACTTTTCTCACCTTAGATGTTGATTTCCATCTTCAAAAATAATTCATCACCAGAAATCCTGATCAACTCACTACTCCTGGTCCTTTCTGTAGTTCAGTCACAAACACATTGCACAGCACAGATTCCCAGCCCACATGTCTAGAGGACAACATTAGTTCTCTTTCTAATAAAAAAAAAAATTAGAAACATTATTCCAGCTTTGTTTTATCCACTTTTACATTTCCGTTTCTTCTAAAATCTCTCCTACCAAGACCTGAACACAAGACAGGTCTTCAGCCTTGGCACCATAACGGAAAAAATCACGCATTCCTCTAGCATGAACACCAATGCAAATAATTCACTCAGCTTCTTTGCCATGTCATTTTTCTTGCTTGTGCTTTTTACACATCCTTTGGCTAAGCAGCTTCTCTGGCAGAATCTCTTCTCTGGAGGAAAAGGTATTTTTCTTCAGTGGTTTTATGCCTTCAGCTAGTTGTTCCTCAAAATCTTCTTAGGTCTGCCTCATGGTTTTATATTTATATATTGTCTATTTTCATATTTAAATGGCTCTTTTCCACCTCCCATTTTGAGCCAGATGCTTCTTTATTTATAAAGGCCTTCTTTTACACTGCTGTTTAACCATGCTGCTCGTTTTTGATAGTGGTATATATTTACTCAAAGCCTCTAAAACAGCTTAACAGCTCTAAGGAATATTTACAAGCAGTACTACTAACTCACTCTATAATAGTTGTATATACAATACTTTGAAACTGTTTTAAATGCAATGAAAGCATAAACAAAGTACTCTATTGTTTATACTAGAAAAATACCATTGTTATTAAATCTGGGGAGGGGTTTTAATGTCCACATTGAAACACTTGCAACTACTTAACAAGAGAATTAAAGACCTGAAAAGTATAACAAGAAGAATGGAAACTCTCTCACATCCGACATATTGATTCCTGAGACTCTGCGAATGAAAAAAGGTAGCTTCCCTCACCTTCTTTGGTGAATTATTGATTAGCTCAGCCTTAGAAGTGCCCATTTCTCTCCCCTGATTGCACGGGGAGTTTGGATAATGAGCTCTTACTTTGACATCTACACTGTAGATACTTAAAATTAGGCAACATAAATCCTGCCAAGAGGAAACTCAGTTGTGACACTTCTCTACTCACTATGCTGGCAATGAAAATAACATGGTGTGGAAGATGTAACGGTCCTTCACTACTGTTAGAAAACCCTTCTGTACTGGAGAGATGGAGCCATGGTCTGTACAGATCTGCTTTGTACAGATTTGAAAAAATAATAATAAAAGAACATTCACAGCAAACCTGTATTTAACAAGGCCATTTTAGGTAAAACCACTGTGGCCTGGTTTAGGTTTAAGTGACTGCTGGACAGCCAGCTGAAAGAGAGGGCTGCTGCTACACTGAACCCAAAGCAGTGTCCTGTAAGTACCCTTCAGTAATGGGCAGGTTTTGAACCTGCGTTAGGTGGAAACCTGGTAGTTCTCATTTATTTCTGAATTAT